AAAAAGAAAGAAAAAAGAAAAAAGAAAACGCCCTTAGATGCCCAAGTCGTGCAACGGAGCATACAATGGCCGGGAAGCCAAAGTGGCTGGATCTGGTACTACATACTACATGCCACTAGAACGAATAGGACCAGTCTCCTAGAACGGGGGTCAAATGGTCAAAGTGATCGAATGGGAACCTGCAGGAAGTCGCCATCTACACCGGCTTCATTCCGGGCCCTCTGGAAGTTAACTATAAGCTGGTTAGTTTTTGTCATAGCCCAATTGTTTCTTTTTCTCATAGCCTGCATCTAACCAGCCGGAAGTCAGGAATACATCCTACTCCTGCAGGCCGGGACAGTGTCACCCAAAAGGACACCCAACGTCCACCGTGTTGCGAGTACCCCGGTAACAGAAAAATAAATGAAAAAAGTGACATATAGTGGTGATACGCTAGTGGCCAAGACGAGGTCTGACTTGCTAAAAAAATTCCATATTGATGGGTAAAAGAAAGGTGACAGTGCTGTCAAATTTGGGTGGTTGGATCAAGCATCTGATATCTCCAGATATCAAGTCCCGCTTATTCTGCGAAAACCTTGGGGGTAATATTTCCAGTCCAATCAATCCAAGGTTGGTCTGATTCACTGGGTATCAAGTCACTGGAAAATATACCCCCGATCATCTCCCTGCATACACTATAATAACCCACTATATCTCCATCCCGATATGACGCCCATGTGGATTGGTTGCGCATGTGTTACTTCCGGTAATAGATCTGAGACAACTTGTTAGCATTATCGGAAAACAAAAAAAGAAAAGCGACTTACCCTTTTGAATTGGAAATGAAGTTGAAGGATTCCCTGAGAAAGAATTACGTCAGTTGAGAAACAGGGGGATCGTTTAGTAGCACAGCATACCTTGTCAAATGTACTCTTGAAACCCCTCTCTCGTTTGGCACTATAATCCCATTCTTTGTCGACAATTCGAAAGGCAAGGTCTTCGTATGGAGGTCCAGCCATGAACCGAATGAGACAGGTGTCTTCCTCGCCCGCTTCGGCCGATGACTCGCCACGCTTACGACCGTTCTCGCGCTCAATCCGGTAAGTCGGGGCTTTAGTCTTGTCGATCAAGTCGGGGTAAAAGATGTTGAATTTGTAACCTTGTACAACCTTGGGTGGCGGGTTGTCATGGTCGTAATGGGTCTGGTTGTATTTGTTCCATTCGTAACCCATTTGAACTCGGTTGAAGTACCGCGGCTTTCGAGGTCGATGTTTACCAGCCCATTGAGGTTGCGAGCTCGTGCTCACGGCCTCTTCGCCTGTAAATATTTCCTCATTCTCGCTGACACCCTTAGCGAGCTCCCTTTCATATAGCGCTTTGGTCGCTTGCGAGAAGTCCTCGTTGGGGATGGACGAGAACCGTGTGGATACAGAGGCTGCGGGGGCGTTGGTAGATGTCGGATTCAACACTACCGCGGAGGACTTCTCTGCTGCTCGGTGCCGTAGTGGGACAAACCCCATACGGATAATTTTCTGGCGTTCGCGGGCCTGTGCGGTTGATTAGCATGTGGATTAGAATAAATGAGGGGAAGCCTCAAACCTACCACTTGGTTAAGGAATGCAGACTCGTCCATGATTTCCAAGCATTTGTCCTCCGGACGGACCTGAAGCATTGGATCTGGATCCAGGCCTTCAAACTCAGCATGATTTGTTTTATCCCCCGCACTGACAACGGGGGCAAGAGGCGCAAGTTTTTCCCGAATTGATTCGGCTTCCTGTCTTTGTTGTCTCCTCAGGTCACGAACACGCTCGTCAATAATGGCTTGATAAACATTTTTCAGACTCGCTCTGGCCTTCCACACAGTCAGACTACGCAGCAGCTCTTCCCAGTAATCGGTATCGATCGGCTCGTTCGAGTCCAACTTTCGTTTCACTTGTACCTCGAGATTTTGGAGCTGCTCGTAGGACTTCGGGCTTAGTAGTTTGTTGATATCGGCAGCCACGGAATTCAGTGCCCGACCCTGGGGTGTAACGGTCTTTTGACGATCTCGACAGATCACTTTCATAGTCTGTAGGTTGAACAGTGGTCAACAGGGGTGTCCAGTGGATAGCAGAGGGGGAGAACCTTACCTGCCAAAATTCACGGTTTTTCGCATTTGTCTCAAGTTTCACAAATGTATCGATGTCCTTCTCCAAGTCCTGCAGTTCAGTCTGCGATAATCCCTCAAACACACCGTCCGGGTCCACGACATCCAGATCGGAGTCTGCTATCTCGTCATCCAAGGGGTCACGCGTAGGATCGATGATGCGGAGAGTAACCGTCAACCAGTCGATAGCCTTTGCGCGCCCTTCTTTGACTCGAATCTCTGCCTTCTTTTTGGCCTGCTTCAGCACGAACAGATCCTCTTGCGCGACCCACTCGCGCTCTTGCTGGTCTTCCTGGATCAAGTTGAGCCGGACTTGGTCGCGCATATTGCGAGGTTGCTGCGAAGGACCCGATCTATCATTGTTCCATCTGCGATCCGAGTCTTGTCGATCGCGCCATTCTCCATCGTCCCGACGGGGATGTTTCTGAGCCTGACGCCACGAGGATGGCGATCGCGACCTGCTGCGCTTTTGGTCTGATCGGTCTGGGAATCGCGCAGACATCGTAAAAATCGTAAGAATGTAACGAGGGGTAAGAATCAGAGCGAAAGCTAGACCTGAACGTACGTAGTTTGGATGTCGAAACGCGAAGTCAGAAGTTCGGGAGACCAGCGGGAAAGTCAAGCGGGCGGCAAACCTTCCCTTTACGGCCCCAGGCAGCTATATGAGACAACCTTGGAACTTCATCACTTCACAACTCCGCATTGTAAACCAACAAGTCACTCAAGTCATGCCCTCAAAATGGCAGCGTCTTCAATTGTCCCAGCAGCGACTACCTCCTTTGCTCTTCCAGTATGCCTGGACCCGGCAAGGCTATGAGATCCACATAACAGACCTCACCTATTTCTGGTCAGAGAGGCTGCCCCATAAAGCCATCGCCAAGAGAGCAGAGGATGATGCAACAACGATCGATCCTGGAGAGGACCCAGAACAGCTCAATGTGCTCCTGGAGAAAATTGGAGAAGCTTTACAAAAGGGCAATGAAAGCGTAATCCTAAGCAGTGGAACGCAAACCGACTCCCTTGAAATCATGGTAACAACCAAGCTCCCCGCCCCGTTGAAGCCTCTTAAATGGTCCTTGCGGCTATCTAAAGAACCCCTCTCATCCTTGACCATTAATCTATTACTTCCGCTGCTGAGAGAGGAAGCGGAGTGGGAGTCCCGCCAACGTTTGCTCTTGAACCAAATCAAACAGAAAGACTACGTACTTGGCAAGTTGTTCGACAAAATGGAAACACTTGGCGTTGACCTAGGGTCTGTGTTTCCTAGCGCTGCCGGATCGCGCACGTCTCGCAAGGCTATTACGCGGTCTGATGCTGCTAAGTATGTCAAGGGTATTGCACCGTTCGAGGAACAGGCTTGGCTTGCTGAGACAGGAGTATCAGATGAGGCGGGATTAGCCACCAACTTACTCCAAGAATTCTCGCAATCCGGTGATTCTCATGATTTAGATACATTCACCCAGTCACGAAGTGAATGGTGGCATCAACTTGCGGAGCGCTCTGAAACTAGCGCCAGAGAATACTCTGTCGCAGATGAAGTTTCCAACCAGGAAGACAGAAAGCCGGTTGAAACCAAGCATATGGACGCAGGAGGGGACTCAACAGCAAGCAGCGATGTCGATGAGTTTCAGGTATGCTACGACTTATCCCTAATCACACATAGGAAGTATAGTTTAACCTCATTCATCTAGCGACAAGAAACCCCTCCCAGACTAAAATCCCAACATGGCAAAGGCAAGGCATCATCACCCAAGCAAAAGCTCAGAAAGAAAACTACTCCACCGTTGGTATTGCCTTCAGAGGAAGATGAAGCCACAGCATCAGACTCCGAATCCGAACCTGAGCCAGCACCTAGTCAAAGACGCATTCCCAGGGTTTCAAGGTCGCCAGAGCCGACTGCACCGCAGCCAAAAGCCCAAGAGGGGCCGAAAGTACCAAAGGGTGGATTGGGTAAGATTGGCGGCAGGGGCAAGAAAGAAACAGAGCGCCGACCCTTGCCATCTCCCTCTCCGCCCCCTTCTCCTCCAGCGCAAGTTCGAGAGGCACCAAAAAGGCCAAGGGGCGGATTGGGTATGATAGGCGGCAAGAAAAAGCAAGCAAAAGAACCCTCGCCTACGTCAGCCCCTTCCCCTCCAGCACAAGCCCGCGAGTGTCCAGAATCCCAAGAACCTTCAGAGTCGCTAGAAGAGAAACAAAGGATTAACAAGGATACTCTGCCCATGTCGTCAACGCCGGCACCACCAGCAGCAGCCAAAGCTAAACGTTCCGGAAAACTTGGCATGATAGGCGGCAAAGCTAAAGCCAAAGCCTCCGAACCAGCTCGAGACAGATCTCTCCCACCTACGCCTGACACAGTCATGTCACCGGAGAAGGCCGCACCTGCTAAACCGAAGGCTGACCGAGAAGCATCTCAAAAGGAGGAGTCTCCATTGCCCATACCAGCAGCGGAAAAGGTCCCTTCCGCTCCACCTGCAGAGTCGGAGACTGAAGACCAGCGGGCTGACCGGAAGCGCGAGGAACTGAAGAGGTCGCTCGAGGCTAAGAGCAAAGCTCCTGCAAAGAAGAAGCGGAGGTTCTAGATGAAATAGAGCGTGGAATATTGTATGTTTGAAGAATGTTTTAAGCCATTTTCCAAACGACCGGGAATGGCTGTGTGTGTGTCCATACGATAAATTCTATCTAGTACGTGACTATGGAGAAATTCACTTCAGGGCTGTACACCATACGCATGTGCTTAAACCCGTGGATTGATTAATTGAAAATATCGCGATTGGGGAATCAAATAAAAGGAGAAGACAAGAAAGTGAAGTGAAGACGTAAAGGTAAAAACACGCGCTAATAATAGTACACATTGAGCGTTACCCAAGACTCAAGCTCAGTCCCTCGAAGGAGGACCCGTGCGAGCCGAGGCAACACCTTCCCTCTCTTGCTCATTCGGGGTAACAAGTCGCACTCTTTTAGGCGACATGGCGCCGGGCGAAACCGGCGCCGGGGAGGAAGTATTGTTTGTCAAAGTGATCGGGCCAGCACCACTGCCACCGGTGGCAGCGGCAACACCGGCAACGCCCAGCATGCCGCGGACTTTTTCGACAGCCTTACTTTCACCCTTAGTCCAGGGATCACGCTTGACAAGCCCGACACCGGCGGAGCGACTAGCAGAGTCGCGACGTTTGGATTCCGCCTGCAGGGCTTGGCGGTTTATTTCGCGACGTGGACCAGGCCCGCAGTCATGCGAGCAGCCGGCTGTGGCACAGCCGCCTTCGCTGGTTAAGATGTCGCCGAGCCAGGTTGTGATGCAGGCTATATGGCCGCCGTGGCCGCAGCCTTGGCACCAGGCCCAGAGGGCAGAGCCTTTGGGCCGAGGTACAGTGAAGGGCTCGGTAATATCCATCTCCGACGCTGGGATGGGTTCAGTGGGAACTGAGGATTGTGCCGAATGGGTCGAAGTGCTTTCGGAGTCTGGGTCAGTACTCGTGAAGGATGAAGTGGTTGGTGGATTTTGCTGCTCTGATACCCATTCTGGGGGTGGATCAAGGCTCATGCAAATAGAGCATGGTGCTTGAGGTGTGCTGCAGCGATAGCAGCGGCTGTTATCTTGGGTGGAATTTTCGAAGGGTCGTTGACACGTGTAGCAGTAGACGTTGATGAATGAATCTGTCTGAGCGTATTCGTAGACGGCAGGATATGTTGATACACAAAATAGGCGGAGCTCTGCTGCCTCGAGGTCCATCGAGTGCCGAATCAGGTGCTCATTGTAAGTTTTGAAGACCGTTTCGCATTCTTCATATGGAAGAATCTGTTCACAATCCCGGAAAAGAATGTGCAGCTTCTGGAGAAGATGGGCCGCAGCCTGAATATCGACTAAGCTACTGCTGCTGTGGTAATATCGGACTGATTCCTTCAGAATCGCTTCAATGCCCCACGGTTTCAAGTCTGTCCCGTCTGGCGTGAGTGGGATCTGGACTCGCGAGATGCCACCCATTTTTGAATAAGGCATGGTGCCGAGGTCGGGTGTATCGCCTGGTGGGAATGGTTGCTGCTGTTTTTCAAGGGGGGTTGATTCTGTGATCAAAGGGGAGGGCTCGATGGGCGCTCCAGATGAAGTCGATCAGTCTCTAAGACGACTTGGTCAAAGGTCTCATCCTCAGATTCCTCACGCGTAGAAGCTAGAATCGACCCTCTTCTCAGCGCTGCAGCAAATTGACCGGTCTCTAGAGATTTAGATGCCTCAAGTTGTCCAGTAGACGAGTACGACGCGCCAATAGACTTGGAGGGGTGCGAACTGTCGGTGGATGTAGAGAACATGGGAAAGCTCTCTGAAGAATCATGCCGAGTATAGCGATCGGGGCGAGGGGGTCGATTAGATTCCATTGGCGATTCAAGAGTCAAGGGTTTCTTGGGAAATTGCTTGTAGTCACGAATTGCTGCACGTTTATCCTCCAGCTTTTGGTCATAGTCATCCTCGGAATTTTCCCGAGGGAAGTCTGGGTGACCTCGACGGCGCCAATCTGCCTTGCCGGCGATTGCCCGGGGCGCAGACCGTTGCTCTGTGTCCAAGTCTTCTTGTGTAGGGTCCCATGGGTACTTCGATGAATGAGCATCATCGGTTGATGATAGCCGCCCACTCGGCAATGATATACGGTCTGACATCCCCCAGCCGTTATGATCGCTCAAGACTGAGGGCGGAAGAGGGTCAAGGTCGATCGCCCCATCGCTCAACGAGGGGATTTGGGAATCAGTGCTCGACCACGAGTCTTTGGGGGAATCGGGCAATGGTCGCGCAATAGGGGTGGTCATATTGGACGAGCTCTCAGCTTCGGGGACCGCCTCCATGACCCCTTTGAACAACCGACTTTTGACTCTGTCCTGTCGACCATCATCGGGTCGTGACCTGTCTATCAAGCCTCCATCCTTGGATGACTTGTCTTTCAGACCACCTTTCGCCGGATGATCTCTAGCTCTACGTTGGAATTCTTGAAGGATGGCGAATTTGACAATTCTCCAAGTCTGAGCCAATTTGGCCAGGGATACCTCATCTGCACATTCAGCGTTATGGTCCAGTGACTCTATCAAAGAGTTCAGGACGTCATTCTGCGTTCTATGTTCACTGTGCTCATCCATCAACGGTGTATAGTGGCTTGCCAAATACCGAAAGACTGCTGAGTCATTTGTGGCACCCGGAATACTTGTGATGATTCCCACCTGACTAGGCATGGGGGTCGCAAGTTTGGCTAATGCTTGTTCTAGAGGGAGCACGGGTATGAGATCCACTGCTCCTGGTGGAGTACTACCCAAGGACTTGGATGGTCGAATCGCGGCCGATTTGGTATGCCGGTTCCGAAGGGAAGTGGCCAAAAGGGCTTCATCAAAAATGTCATCTGCAGGGCTTTGACTTAGTGATCTCTCACCAGTGCTGTCCTCGTCTTCTTCGGGCCGTAGAAATTCAGCGGCATTGACTCCCAGAGGGCGTCGCCTGGGCCGTTGTTGACTGAACGCAACAAACTCGCCATTGGGACTCCAGGCCACGGAGCACATCGGTCGACGATTGACCACAGTTGGCGCATACCGAACGTCGGTCTGGGTAAAAGCCCCAGCCTCGCCGACCGTCCATAAGAGATCCTTAGAGCGCCAGAGTAGATCTGATGCGGGCGAGTCGTACCGATCGAACTCGCGAAATGGAACGTGCGGGCGACGGAGATCCCAAAGGTGAACGCGTGGGTCTTCTTTGTCATAGGACGTGACAACTTGAGATGATTGCCATTCTCCCGAGGAAGGAGACTCACCAACCCAAGAAGGAGGCCTCCACCGCACATTTGTGACCGCCTGGGGCGTTCGGAACTGGAAGGCGGGTTTCTGCCGTCGCTCTGCAGATGAAGAAAAGTCCCAGACCTTTACCTGACGATCCGTGCCACCACTGACAATGTGCTTTCCGTCTGGGTGCCAGTCGACGGCGAAGCATGGGCGATCATGAGCGGCAATTCTCATCAGTGGGGCGTTGACCTTTCGATAATCCCACATCTGGATTGCGCCGCTGTCTGAAGCAGTTGCAAATATGACTCCATCGTTAGGAGACCACCGGACGTCTCGGATGGCATCGCTGTTGCCTTGATACGAATGTTTGCTGCCGCACGTGGAAGTTCCCCGATTTGCAGAGGCGGATCGCAGATCCCACATCCGAATTGTGCCATCTTGACTGCCAGATAGGAGCCAAGAAGGAAGATGAGGATTGAAGGCAAGCCTGTGCACCTGGCGGTTGTGACCATGGAAACGACATAATTGGAGGCCGGGCCGCTGTAGGTCGTAAACCACAATCCGACCATTCGCGACTGCAGTTGCGATTATCCGGTCATAGTTGCCATGTGACCATTTTACGTCCTTCACATTCAATTGGTCCTTGTGTGGCATCGAAACGCCCACATCGTGGTGGGTGGATGCATAGCTAATGACTGCATTGCGAATATTGAATTCCTCTGACGAGCGGTCTGGCGATACCTGGATGGTTTTAAGAATCTCCTTGCCTGCGATAACCGCATGTGTCCGCTCAGGTGAAATGTCCAAAGCCGTGATCGCGATGCCTGTCTTGTGGGTCACAGTCTGCGGTTCTCCTGGTCTTTACAGAAACATATAATTAGAAACAAAAGATTCCATTGGCTCAAATGCAATTTCCCCGATCACACTAGCTCCAATGACCGAATGGCGGGGGTGGTCACTGCATTCGCGAAAACAAAGAGGGAAAAACATGGGGAGTAAACCAGGGAAGTAGGGGTATCAGAGCGGTGTGAGAAAGCTGCAACACTTACAGTGATTTGGATCTGATCGACCGGGGACCATCCGCACGACTGCTTTGGGGACTAGGTGGTCTCGAGCCCGCGAAGAAGGGTTGAGCGAATCTAGCAAGGGCATTGGCGGCGCGATTTGAGTACTTCTGTGGTGGAGGGGGAGGAGGAGGAGGGACCGGAGATCGCGAACCTGAGAGGTCCGACATCATTCACAGCCAGGTCTCCATTCTGGCACACCGAATTGGAAGGAGAGATGCGGAGAGTTGGAGATCGTCGAGATGCAAGCGGTGAGGGAAGGATCCCTGAGGCACCGATCCATGCCTTACTGTTATCTGACAAGAATATACAATTTTAACGTTGCAACGTTGTTACAACGCCTCACATATAGGGCACCAGTCAGGTAGTTGTACTACTTGTACCAATTTTCTCATCATTTATGTATTTCTTAATCCTTTAACCTCTTGAAAGCCATCGGGCCGGAACACATGTTAAGAGCGGTCTAGAAGACAACACATGAGAGAGCTCAGATTGGAATATGATCTTATGAAGTAATTTGTCCGAGGGAACGTGTCCAATGATCAAAATACCTACATATGTATATACTATCTATCAAACACAATAATGCGATTCTGATTTGTCTTACCACAACCGGGGCTTCGGGATGGACACGAGACACATGGGGAATATATATTCATAGATCTTCAGAGATGACATATATACTTTACAAATATACATACATAAAGTGGCCAATCCATGAAACTGCGCCTCGGGAGTGCCACCGAAAGTGACTAAAAACACTAAGAGGAGGCAAATATGAGACATTCAGCTAATCACGTACATTTAACGGGAAGCCTAGACAACCAATCCAAGCTGAAGGTCACACATTCGCGGAGAAAAGGAAGAAAATCTAGATTACATTGCCATAATGACTGGGCTCAGATGATCTCGTTAATAATTCCTTTCATGGTTTTATTTTCCTTGGCATAGTTAGTGAAGTCATATATGCGTGGATTGTTCTCGATCTATCGATCGACGATCCTTTTAACCCCCCTGGTTTTGTTCAGGACAATTTGAACTTCGACCATCGGGGTACAACATAGGAAAGGCTCTATATTGATTAGCTTAGATTAAGAATTCAACTATTGGAGACAAACATGCCCAAAAGAGTAACTCGGGGAAGATATGTATAAAAGAGACTCGGAAGCTTTAGGTGAGTTATATATATCAGTGGATCCCCTTGTTTTTTAGCTGCAGCAACCTGCAATCCACACCGTCATTTTAGACCTAGACATTTGATATTTATATATATATTCTTTGCCTCTTTTCCTTCTTTTTCTTTTTAAAAAAGATTCAACCTTTTTCCTGCTTCAAAAAAAAATACTTAAAAGCTTTGGAAAAGGAAGAAGAAAAAACAGTAGGGGGAAAACATAAGGAAAAAAATAAGGAAAAATAACATTATATTTTCTTTTTCATTCTTATTTCTTTTATGTTTGCTTCTGTTTCGAAATCTCCATAATATCTTACTTCATTTTTCTTCAAATTTCCACGTGGAAACCTGTTGAGGTTGTCTCCATCCTTGGAAGTTCTCCCATTCCACGCGTCGATCTTTCGCCATACCCGTCGTTCACACCCGTCCAGTCCTTTCCGATCCGAACCCGGCCTCCCTTTCCTACCTTTCTTTCGAGGAGGCACTCCTGTCATGGACCTTGTTTGAAACACTCATCTCTGGGATATTTAGTGGGCAATGGATCCCCATGCAGCCCTTGAGCTGCTGGAATACTTGCGCACCTCTTACCCAATCTTCCTTCTTATCCTCTTTGTCGTGGCCTTCGTGGCTAACACTACCATCGCTGCGAGGAAAGCCAGCAAGCATGAATCTCAATACTTTGGCCCTGGAGGGCGACCACTCCCTCAGCGAACTCGAACCGTGCCCGCCTACAAATCCCAGGAGTTCTCGCGGAACGTCAAACGAGTTTTCAATTTGCTCTCCGTGGCCATTCTCCTGACCTTCATTGTGGATGCAACTATCTATATCGTACATGTGATGGTGGCTAGGTCAGAGAACTGGTGGCGAGGACAGTCGTTTGTGGTACGTTCTTTTCAAATGGTTTGGTGTTTCTCGACAGCTGTTGACACTATCACAGATCTACGTCGTCGGCTCGTTCTTCGTCTACGCAGTGCTGCTCATGGCAATGCTAGACACATCTCCCTCGCCCACTCTCGCTCAATTTGTCTGTTGGTCGGTCGCCATTCCGATCGAATTAGTTATTGTTAGCACCTCCCTCTCAATCTACACCTCGGTTCATCACGAGCCAATCGTTGGGGACCCAGAAGGGGGTCGGGTCCGCAGAAGCATCACACTCTGGGAGTCCCTGGAAGTGGGATCGAATAGTGTACGCATCCTTATCTTGTTTGCACTGGTTCTTCTCTACGCCTGTCAATCATTCAGCATCAAGAGTCACCAGAAGGCAAGCCAACGGACGAATGGAGCCACAGAAGCCACGGGCCTTTTGGAATCCGGTGGCGCAGAAAATGGCAACGGGAACGGGCATGGGAACGGAACTGCCAATGGTCACTCGTATGGCTCGACAAACGGAACTCCCCAGCCCGAAACTTCCAAACCTGCCGATCCATGGGTGCGTCCGACGACTATTCCTTCCACCAGTTGGTGGGAGTACCTGAGCGGGTACTCGCTATTTTTCCCATACTTATGGCCGTCCAAATCCCGCCGCCTGCAACTAATTGTCACGTTTTGTTTTTTGCTCCTCATATGTCAGCGAGTAGTTAACGTCTTGGTACCCAACCAGATCGGAGTCATTACAGGTTCTCTTACCAAGGGTGAGGGCGAGGACTTCCAAGTGCCATGGCTTCAAATCTGCCTATATGTGCTGTACCGATGGTTGCAGGGCAGCCAGGGCTTACTCAGCTCCCTGCGCTCTAGCCTCTGGATTCCTGTGAGCCAGTATTCTTACATGGAGCTCTCCACCGCTGCGTTTGAACACGTCCATAGCCTCAGCTTAGACTTCCATCTTGGAAAAAAGACTGGCGAAGTCCTGTCCGCCCTAAGCAAGGGCAGTTCGATCAATACTTTCCTTGAGCAGGTCACCTTTCAGGTGGTGCCAATGCTTGTCGATCTTGTGATTGCGATTGTGTACTTCATGGTCGCATTTGATGTCTACTATGCTCTAGCTGTCGGGATTTCCACCTTTGGTTATCTCTATGTCACTATTCGCATGGCTCAGTGGAGAGCAGAGATCAGAAGACAGATGGTCAATGCCTCGCGACAAGAAGATGCCGTCAAGTAAGTCAGAACCGAGGCCATGCATGATACAATATGTGGGACTAACTTATGCTCTTTCTAGGAATGACTCCATGGTCTCATATGAGACAGTGAAATACTTCAACGCCGAACAGTACGAATTCAACCGGTACCGGGGCGCCGTGGGTGACTTCCAGAAAGCCGAATACCACGTGCTGTTCTCTCTAACACTGCTGAACACCTGTCAAAACACCGTGTTTATGATGGGCTTATTGGTAATGTGCTTCATTTGTGCATACCAGGTTGCTACTGGCCAGCGCCCTGTGGGAAAGTTCGTGTCTTTACTGGCCTATATGGTCCAACTCCAGGGCCCGCTCAATTTCTTTGGCACCTTTTATCGATCTATCCAATCCGCATTAATCAATGCCGAACGCCTGCTAGAATTGTTCCGTGAGCAGCCAACTGTGGTCGATAGCCCTAGTGCTACCCCGTTGGCCACGTGCAATGGTGACATCAAGTTCGAGGATGTTGAGTTTGCTTACGATGCGCGCAAGCCCGCGTTGAACGGCCTTACCTTCCACTGCCAGCCGGGAACCACCACCGCCTTGGTTGGTGAGTCTGGCGGAGGTAAGTCCACCGTCTTCCGCCTCTTGTTCAGGTTTTACAACTCCGGGAATGGACGTATCTGTATCGATGGGCATGATGTACGGGACATCACGATCGACTCACTCCGCCAGAACATTGGTGTGGTGCCTCAGGACACTGTACTTTTCAACGAGACTTTGATGTACAATTTGAAGTACGCCAGGCAGGACGCCACTGATGAGGATGTTTTCGAGGCTTGCCGCGCTGCTAGCATTCACGATAAGATTCTTGCTTTCCCCGACGGTTACAACACCAAGGTTGGAGAGCGTGGCCTACGGCTTAGCGGTGGCGAGAAGCAACGTGTAGCTATCGCTCGCACCATCATCAAGAATCCGCGCATAATTCTATTAGATGAGGCAACCGCAGCTCTAGACACAGATACCGAGGAGCATATCCAAAGGGCGCTTTCTACCCTTTCACGGGGTCGCACCATGCTGGTAATCGCTCATCGTCTCAGCACCATCACTACTGCAGACCGCATCTTGGTCTTGTCAGAGGGTCAAGTGGCTGAAAGCGGCACCCACGAAGAGCTCCTGGCTATGAAGGGCCGCTACGCCAGCATGTGGCGTAAGCAGATCCGCGCCCAAAAGGCTATGGCAGAAGCTCAGGTCCTAGCCGAGCGAATCCGCACTGCAACCACAAGCGATGACAGCTCCAGTCAATCGGATGAAGACCGCAACGTTGTCGGTCACCGAACCAACTAAATCAGTAATCCCTGGACCGCTAAAATAGGGACAGGGAATGACTCTTGTTTAATCTTCAACATGTTCATACGTTTTTCCATATTCTTACAAGAAAAGTTCCCAGAGGCAGTAATGATCGGAGGCAACATGAGATCAAGTTTGATGTCTCATCTCGAGGGGTGAGAGCCTCTCATTTTTCTTGCTTATTTCTCATTTTTCGGTTCGTTCGTCCTTGAAGGTATCGTTTTCTTTCTTTTTCTCTCTTTTTTGTTTTGTTTGTTGGCGTTTTGGGTCTACGACGCGTACGATGTTATCATCTCTCTTGTCCTTGTTTCCTATGAATCCAGGGCGCAGAGGGTCAGGGTTGGGACTCCTGCAAAATCAAAATAGATTAATTGCTAGGCTCAATATTAATATAAGAAAAATTCAATTAACGTCGATCGTTACTACTTGCTTGTCTGCTTGCGTTTATATCTGACATACCAGGGGTTCAACTCAAGTCCATGCCCACTCTACATAGAGCCACTCTCAGTTTCTATAGAATGTCTAACAGTTCTTCTTGCTATGAATGTATATCCTTGATACACCTTACTGCGTGATACGTTTAAACTCTTGCAGAGGT